TTTCCAACCTGTGTTTGTTTTATAATAATTAGGTTTCCTGTTTGTTTGCTTTATAAGAAGGCATATATGCCACTCAGCTTCAGACTCCTACACCATGTAACCATAATTGTTTTGCAGTCAAAAGCAAAAGAGATTTGACATTTTTAAAAAAGATTTATTTATTTATTTATACAAGAACCAGGGTACAGGCTAGATTGTGGGAGGGTGAGAAGATTCACCAGAGACAGAGTGGGGAACAGAACAGGTAGACTGATGAAATACACTGCTGAGGGGAGCAGCGGTCGCGACAGGAGAGATCTGCCCCACCATGTGGGACCCTTGTTGGCTGGCCGGGATTGAACCGCTACCGCCTGCGCCACCAGGGGAGGCTCGAGATTTGACATTTTAATTAGCTTATGTGGGTAGACAAGTTGAGGGTTAATGTAAGATTTCCATTATACTTTTAGAAAAGTTATAAATAACTAGTAACCCTCTGTTGCTACTTTTTAATTTCCCAGGACGGTGGGGGACGCAGTGAGGTCTATAGATAAAAGAAACTGCGGGCAAGATGAGACCAAAAAAATTGGATAGTTTAACCATTCTAGGTGCAAAAGTATTGGGTGCTGGAATGATAGGTATCAAATAAATTGAGGCTGAGCTTTCCCTGGGTGAAATTCTGTCTCAATCTTCTGATAGGCTCTTGTATTAAAAAACAAACTCTTTTTTTTTTTTTTCCTTTTGAGCTGAGTCTTGTGATTTTTCTCTTGGGCCATCAAGATGATGTTTAGGCTCTCCCCACCCCCTAATGCTAGAAAGATGGCAGAGGAAAATGAGAAATTCTTGCTCAGTGTGACCAATAGGAGTGTTGCTGGACTACGATTCTTGCTTTTTCTGATGGTTTCTTGTCAGAACAGTCTTGTCTTTATTATTATACTTGTCAGTGCTTGGTATTTCCAGTACCTCAAATTTAACCAGTACCAAGTCAAACATTTTCCTTTCCCTATCCTTCCACATCGCAACACCTGCTATTTTCAACCTTCTAGTTGCTAGCACCAAACTTAGCAGTTATTATTGCTCCTTTCTCTCTTTCCCATCCAGTGGGGATCTTGGGAATCCTGCTGGCTCCCCTAAAGATGGTCCTCTTGGGACCATTCATCACTGCTCTGCTGCTGCCACTTTGGTCCTTGGCACCACCATTTTTGGCCTGAGTTATTGCAGTACCTTTCTTCACAATCCATGTGTGTCTCTCCTTGCCAGGGAGTTTGAAAGATGATTTAAAGATATGTCAGATCATGTTGCTCCTTTCGTCTTTGTGTGTGTGTGTGTGTGTGTGTGTGTAGAAGAATTGGGGGATAGGCCAGAGGTGTGGGTAGTGAGAAAATTCACCAGAGACAGAGTGGGGAGCAGAACAGGTGGACTGACTGAAACACACTGCTGAGGGGAGCAGTGGGCGAGACAGACAAGGTCTCCTGCGCCATGTGGGTCACCTCCCTGGCCAAGGATCGAATTCGTGCTGCAGTGGTTGATGATAGCTTCATAGTGCTGAGACGTACTGCTATTTTAGGACACATTCATGACCTCTAAAAGTAACCCGTCACTAATAGTTATCTCGTCTCATCCTTTGATCCCTTAGCCCTGGTCAAACACTGATCACCCGTCTGTCTATATGAACTTGCTTATTCTGGACGTTTTCATCCAAGGAATCATACAATATGTGGCCTCGTGTCTGACTTTTTTCATTTAGCATGCAAGTTCACCCAAATTTTACCATGTATCTGTGCTTCATTCCTTTTAATTCTCAGCTTTTACTTTAAAATAAAACCATGAACTAGCATCTTCATTTTGCTGTTGAGGAATCTGAGGTGGAAAGAATTTGCCAGGGTCACAGAGGGAGGAAGAGGAGGGGTTCAGGTATGCACCCAGTCTGTATGGTCAGGTCCTTCCTGGTGCCAGGCTCTGGTGTCCTGATTATCACAGCTCTTTGCCCTGGTGTTCTCTGTCCTTCACTCTGTAAAACGCTTTAATTGGGCCAGTATTTGTTGAGAAATATCTTAAATGTTCATTTGATTGTTAGTGCCAGAGCTCTACGTGTTAATATTGACTTATGTTCCTGGGAGCAATTAAAAGCATTGAATTAAGCTGTTATGGTCCCACAGATCTTGGTGACTTTTGCGATCTCTGAAGGAAATCTTGCTGGGAACTGGAGAGGTGCTCTTACAGGGGATGCCATCATTTGTATATTTTAAAAAACTTTATTTTGAAATAATTTCAAATTTACACAAGTGTTACACAATACAAAGCACTTCTGTTTAATTTTCACCCCTTTTGCTTGTTAACCCTGTACCACATTGGCCTCCTCTTTCTCTCACTGTGTATCTAATCCTATCCTGAACCATTTGCAGTCTTCATGTCTCATTACTCCAAAATACTTTCAATGTGACTTTCCTGAAAACAAGGACACTCACATAACCCCAGTATACTCATCAAAACCAAGAAATTCACGTTATAGTATCATCGAATTCTTAGACCTCTTGCAGATTGCTTCTGTAAAAGACGAAACACACAACAAAACCCTTCTCTTGCCCTCCTTTCCCTCTGGTCTTTGATCTAGTCTAGAATCAAGGATTTCATTCCTTGTGTCCTGCTGCTGGCCTATAATCTGGGTTGGCCTTTGACTCACCCTCCTCCCCCACCTTCTTTCATGATTTGATATCTTTTGAAAAGTACACACCAGTTGGTTTGTAGAATGTTTCTCATTTTGGGTTTGTCTGATGGCTTTTGTAATTAGATTTGGTGATGTGCTTTGGGTAGCACTGTTGCAGAAGTGGCACCACTCTTCTCAGTGCATCCTGGGGCTCAGGATGCTAATTTAACCCATAACTGGGGATCCTGACTTCCACCAGTTGGTTGAGATAGTATCTTTCCAATTCTCCATGGTGAGGTTCAATAGGACTTTTCACTTGTCAGTTAACAAGCGTCAGCAAGTATTGTGTGGGAAGGTCCTTTACGTTGCTGTGAAGAGCCTGTCCCTCCTGAAATGCTCAGCCACTAGTCTTAGCACCCATTGCTGATGCTCGCCTGAAGAGTGACATGCGGCTTTCAAGTGATAATTTTCTAATTCTGGTCTTCCTTCCCGTGTTTATTGTGTGTGATTCCTTGTGATTCTATTGAGAACTGTCCCCTTCCCCTGCATATATTTTTATTGCTGCAGAATGTACATAACAAAATGTATCATACAATAATCATCTTATTCATCATAACATTTAGCCATTTTTCAAATCCTGTGACATTTAAATCTATTCATATTATTGAATAAATTGAATAATTATCACCACTGTCCATCCTCATTTTCTTTTTTTTTTTTTTAAGATTTATTTATTTACTTATGCTACAAGAGCTGGGGTGCAGGCCAGAGATGCAGCGGGGGTGGTGGTGGTGAGAGGATTCACCAGAGACAGAGTGGGGAGCAGAACAGGCAGATTGACTGAAATACACTGCTGAGGGGAGCAGCAGGCAAGGCAGGAGTGGTCTGCTATGCCATGTGGGTCAGCTCCCTGGCCGGGGATCAAACTTTTGCTGCAGTGGCTGCGGATAGCTTCATAGGTTGTGTCTTAACCCTTTGTGCCACCAGGGAGGCCCAGAACTTCCTTCTTTCTAAGGCTCAGTCCTATTCCTTTGATGTTCGCAATCACATTCTGTTTATTTATTCATCCATTAGTGAACACCTGGGTTACTCCCATCTTTTGTCTGTTATGGATCATACAGCTGGGAACACGGGTGTGCAGTACCTATTTGAGTCACTGCTTCCAGTTGAAATTTCTGGATCATATATTCTGTACTTAAGTTTTTGGGAACCTTAGTTAACTTTCAAAAATTGTTATCAATATGGACTATTGGTTTCCTAGTTTATTCAACGGGTTATAGTCTGGTAATGTCATTGTTCATTTTGAGGTACAGATTGTCCCTTATTTGGCTAATGGAGGCCTTTCAAGCTGGTTCCAGTATCCTTTCGACTTGGCCTCATTGGAACTTTTTCCTCTTGTGGCACAGTAAGATATTCCAAGCTTATCTTACTTCTACGATGTCAGCCTGGAATTAGCCACTTTTTCAGGGAGCTCAGTTCCTTTTATTGGAGAATGGTATTTAGAAACCAAGATAAGGGTGATGAATATGTTGTTTGTGGCTGGGGTGTCTTTGCTTCCAGACCCTTTCAGAAGAGGGAGCTAGGAGAATTGTGTTTCTACACAGATATGTAGAAACACCTGTGTATTTATATCTGTCTGCATATGTATTTTACAAACTAGAGTTTGCACTGATACCTTTAATTCTCAGACCACAGGGGCTGTTCCAGCTTTCTCCCTTTTCATATTTGTTTGCCTCTTTAACGGTGAGAAACCTAGTTCTCGTGATCTTTGATACGTTGCTTACATGTGAGGTCTATTTATTTGCATTACTTTCTCACCCTCACTCCTGTGCTCAGTCACCCGACCATGAGGATTATCTTTTTGGACCTGGCCCCTCCAAATTTCCTGGCTTAATACCCAAATCCTAGCCCTAGTTCTACTGCCCATGCCCCAGCCCCAGGCCCCTACCAAGGGGGTGGGGGGAGGGACAGGGATGGTCCCCATTGATTTATTTTTATTTTAAGATTTATTTTTATTTATTTGTGCATACAAGAACTGGGGTGTAGGCCAGAGGTACAGGGGCTGATCGGATTCACCAGAGACAGAGTGGGGAGCAGAACAGGAGGATCTACTGAAATACACTGCTGAGGGGAGCAGTGGTGAGACAGGAGAGGTCTACTGCTCCATGTAGCTGAGGATTGAACTCATGCTGCATTGGCTGCTGATAGCTTGATAGTGCTGAGAGTTTTACCCCCGTACTACCAGGGAGGCCCTCCCATTTATATTTTTATTAGTGACTTAACTCATCAGGCGCTTTACTGCGATGGCATGGAAAGCTGTACTGACAAAGCCCTTTGTTTTTCATGACTCTCTCCACTTCTCTCTCTCTCTCTCAAGATGGTTTCACCCAAATATCACCGGTGTGGAGGCAGAAAACCTCCTGTTGACAAGAGGAGTCGATGGCAGTTTTTTGGCGAGGCCTAGTAAGAGTAACCCTGGAGACTTCACACTTTCCGTTAGGTAAGTTGCAATTAGGTAAGTTGCAAGTGAAAGAAAGAACCAGAGTTTTCTGGGTAGAAAATGGTAAAATGACCCTTGGACAACTCGCTCCCTTCACAGAGTCTGCAGGCCTGCCTGCTGCTCTGTGGTGGGCCTCGCCGCCTGCCCACTGACTGGACTGATTCAAGAGAGGGAGACAGGGATGAGGGCAGAAGGCGTGTCCTGGTGGGCATCCTTCTCCCTGAGGGACCCCCGGGGGTGAGTTGGAGCAGACCATCACCCCTTCTGCAGCCACCTACCGCTTGACCCTGTTTCCTGCATTTTCTTCCCCTTCTCTTGATTTCTTAATGGCGAAAAATACTTAGAGCGTCTTCAGATCACTTTTCTTTTTCAAGAAATAAAACACCACTGAGGAAGTTGTGGTCCCTTTTGTTCCCCTGCCTTGTCCCGTTCCCCAGAGGAAACCACTGCCAGGAGGTTGGCATGAGTCCTTCCTGAGCACATTTTCATACCCAACTCCACTCCCCGACTCCCCTTGTGCTGTGTGAACAATAGCGAGTTGGTTTGTGTCTTTTTAAAATTCACAGCCATGGCTTTGTAATGCATGTGTTACTCTGTGGCTACATTTTAAAAATATTTAAGTCCTGTCTTGGTACTTATACGTGTAATTATCCACTTTAATGTATATCAAATTTAAATGGTGTGAATATACCCACTATAGCCAACCTGTTGTTGGGCATTGGATTAAAATTTTTGGAACAATTTGCCCAATATCCTGTTACATGTCTCTTTGAGCAGGCATGGGTGAGTTTTTAAGAAATTGATTTTCCCGTTGCACGCTCAAGTCTCCTTATTCTAGCTAGAACTGAACTATGTTTTGTGTTTGCTTTTATTAGTAGATAAGTTTCTTGAGGAGCCACTGTCATTGACTTCTGTTTTCCTACCAAGCAGGGGTAGATTCTTCTGGGTTTTTCCCAGCAAAGACTTCTAAACTCATGTGACATTTGAGCTGTAAGAGTTTGCATGGAGATTTTATTAAAATGGTAATAATGATAATGATGATGGTAGCAGCTTTAGTGAGACTTGACATTTATACCAGGCCATTATGCTAAGCATTATACACACACAGTTTTGTTTAGTTTTCTCCATAGCCTGTAAGTACCATTTGTAATCTCCATCTTATAGGTGAGTAAGGGGAGGCGGAGAGGTTATTTTGAGAAACTTCTGAGCTGTAGGAAAGTTGAGAGATGATTATCATTTATGTCATATTCCCTTTGTTAGCATTTGCATGTTTGCTCTGTGTGTGTGTGTGTGTGTGTGTACATTCCCCTGCGTGTGTGTGTGTGTGTGTGTGTGTGTACATTCCCCTGCCAAATCTTTTGAAAATAACTTAGAGCTATCAGGACATTTATTTTTATCTTTGAGTACTTCAGTGTGTTTGTCCTATGTACAAGATGTTCTCTTGTAACTATAAAGTCTTTATTATATAGAAGTTTTAACATCTATTCAGTGTGATCTGATTTATATTTAGTCTATATTCAAATTTCCCTTATTTCAATAATGGTTCTTAGAGCTATCCTATTCTTTATCTCAGCAAGTGTATGATATTGGTTTGCCCCATCTTTTGAAAATTTCCTTGCCTCTAGAACCTTTTATTAGACAGAGGTGGGAAATAAATATTTCTATATTAAAATTAAGTGCTCTTACTGATAGTTTCAGTTCCGCCCAACTTCTTTAACTTTCCCATTCCTTATTGTGTCTTCCTTCTCCTGTAGGGAGACCCTTGGTTTTTAACAGCATCAGCATATGACCTGATTTTCAAAAAAATAAATTAAAAATATTTTAATTTTAGGTTTACTTTTTTACCCCTCAGTATATGACCTCATTTTCTCTCTCCTACAATACAAAAATAGATTCAGAATTTTTACATTACTATCAAACTCATAAAGTAAAGTTCGTGATTTCTCTGATACTCTTTTTGTTCTTGGACTATATCCCACCAAATTTGTACAATCAGTTCTACATTCAAAAGTTACAGGAATTAACTTTCTGTGTCATTATGAACTGACTGCAAGGTTAGAATCATTTCTTATATTCATTTTTTTGATCCTTATCTATTTCATTTTTTTTGAATATGTGAAAATTAAAAGTTAAACTATATAAAAAGGCATGAAAGAAATTTCATTCTTTGCCCTGCCTGTTGCACCCTATTTCTGTCCATACCTGTAGGTAACCATTTCCATTAATTTCTCTGTTTCTTTTTGTGCATGAAGTAGAACACTTTCTTTTTTTTCACTTATAGAAATCTCTTAGAGAATTTTCCTTATATTTTCAATCAACTGCATACATAGCATATAACTTCATCCAATTTCCTGCAATTGGGGATTGAGGTGACCAGTATTTTACAGGGATGATAGAGTGGTTCTGATAACCTATGTGGTGTGTCTTGTACTTTTGGAAATGTAGCTTCAGGGTGAATTCCTGGGAGTGAGGTGACGGGGTAGAGAGGAAGTATGCACAGAGTGTAGTTTTTCCCAATTCTCCTCCATAGCGGTTGTACCATTTTGCACCCCCACCAGCAATGTGGGAAACTGAGTGCCTGTAGTTTTCCCACAATGTTCCCAGTTGAATGTTGTCAAGCTTTTCATTTTCACCGACCTGGACAGTTAGAAATGGTATCTCAGTAAATTTTAATTGTCGTCTCCCTTGTGAACATCTTTTAATAAGTTTGAACGTCATTTGCTTATTTTTTTGTGAACTTAGAATCACTGTTTTTTGGGTTTTTTTTTAAAGATTTTATTTTTGCATGGAAGAACTAGGGTGCAGGGCAGAGGTGCAGGGAGTGAGAGGATTAACCAGAGACAGAGTGGGGAACAGAACAAGTGGATCTACTGAAATACACTGCTGAGGGGAGCAGCGGGGAGACAGGAGAGGTCTGCTGCGCCATGTGGGTCAACTCCTTGGCTGGGGATGGAACTCAGGCTGTCACAGTGATAGTGCTGAGACTTAACCCTAGGCTACCAGGGGTTCTTAAGAACTCTGTAATACTACCAAGTTTCACTTTTGATTATTTCCTTAAATACATGTGTTATAGACACTGCTACACACATGTGCACACCTCTGTAGATGCAGGCATCTGTGATTTTTTTTGCACCGATGAAGTTATTGCTCTGATTCTCTGTTGAGATGATCTGTGCGTTAGATGAAAAATTGATGATTATGTTACCTTATATCCAGTTAGTCAAGGAAGGTCCCCATTTTAATTTTGAGGAAAAGATACAGAAAAATGCAAAAAGTCATGTATATTTTTCATGTTGTATTTACTGCCATTTTTTCCCTTCAAAACAAACTGTAAGTGAAAGCACAATTTCCTTTTTTTCCACCACCCTTGATTCTGTCCTTTCCTTTGCCCCGAGGCAGTTGCTAGCATGAATTTAAGTTTTTTTCTCTCTAGTTCATAAAAAAGGCATGTGTATTATTTATTATTATAATATTTATCATTATAATATTAAAATGTAATACATGTGTTTGTATTGCAAAAAATATGTAGAATTACTTGTGTTTTTAAACTTTTATAAATGGCCCGATAAGAATATTATTGGGCCTTGTGTTGCCTTCATGTAACATGTTCGTCCATCTGTGCTGCTGCATGTTGATCTCGTCCATATCTGAAATGTTTGATTTTTTGGTTATGGGATTAGTAAATGGAAGCCCAGGTATTAAAATAGAGTACAGTGTAGCTGCAGGAGAATGACCTGAAGTGCCTTATTTTACCCATTGGAAAAGGTTGTCAGAACAATTAGAAGGAGATATTGTCAGTAACGTTATGGGATGATTTTTCTTACTTTCCTTAGTTCCCATTTTTCTTTTTCTCTGCTAGACATGTATTTATTTTTCCTGGAGGCTTCACTAATAGTGCTATGGGATCAGTCTAAAAATAAGTTTAGGCCAATGGTTACCATTTTGGGATGCCAGATCCCTTGGGTCCACCCGGGGATACTGGGCGATAATGGGTGTCCTTGAGATGTATTTAGTAGGTCAGGAAACCCAATGTAAATCATAGGCAGAGTGCCCAGGCTAACTAAAATCCAACTTTTATAAACTTTTGGCCAGTGTTACGTCAACTTAGTGGGATAGCATATGAGCACTCTCGTGCTGAATTTATGTCTTTAAAATGTTTTTCTAAGGATGCAGTTATATAGTGTCATAAGGGTGCAGTGAGATGAACTTGATATGTGTACTTATACATGTAGTCAATACCACAATCAGAGGAAGCCCTGATGTCTTGTTAGTCAAGTCCCTTTGTGCCCCTTTCTAATCTCCCTAAGCGGCAACTGCTATTCTCATTTCTAGCTCCGTAGGCTAGTTTTGGTTATTTTACAATATCATATAAATGAAGTTATGCAGTATGCAAGTGTGTGTGTGTATGTTTTAAGATTTATTTATTTATGCATACAAGAGCTGGGGTACAGACCAGAGATGTGGTGGGGGGGTAGGTTTGAGAGGATTCACTAGAGATAGAGCAGGGAACAGAACAGGCAGACTGACTGAAATACACTGCTGAGGGGAGCAGCGGGCGAGTCAGGAGAGGTCTGCTGCGCCATGTGGGTTGCTCCCTGGCCGGCCGGGGATCGAACTTGTGCTGCAGAGGCTGCAGATTGCTTCATAGTGTGGTGCTTAACCCCTTGCGCCACCAGGGAGGCCCTGTGTGTGTGTTTTATGTTTCACTTCTTTCACCTTTTTTTTGAGATTCATCCATATGGTATATATCATGTTTGTCTTTTTTTTTTTTTGCTTTTATATTGCTCCATGGCATTTCATTGTATAAATATACAACTGTTTATTTATTTTGGTGATAGATATATGTCTTGTCAATTTTTTTTTCCTAGGCTGCAGTTTGATAGCTTAAATTTTCAAAATAGAAGATGTACCTGGGGAGAAATTAATAACAGAGTCCTCTGTTCTGTAATATGTGTGTGATGATTCCATCCACTGGATTTGTTGGTTTGTTCTTTGGTTTCTTTCGATATTTAGGAAAACTCTGATATTGAACATGAGATCCATTTTCACTAGTTTAATTCTTTGTTCCCCTTCTCCCCGCAATGGACTATTTTAGAAGAAATGGAGCAGTCACCCACATCAAGATTCAGAACACTGGCGATTACTATGACTTATATGGAGGGGAGAAGTTTGCCACTTTGGCTGAGTTGGTCCAGTATTACATGGAACACCATGGGCAATTAAAAGAGAAGAATGGAGATGTTATTGAGCTCAAATATCCTCTGAACTGTGCAGATCCTACCTCTGAAAGGTCAGTAACATTTTAGTGACCACAGGGCCTGTGCATCCCAACCTCCTGTGCCATATGTGCCATGCAGGTGCATCATGGGGGTTTGGTGCTGTCTTGTTTCTCAGACTGTAATTTTCAAAGTTTTACTAAAGTATCAATAATAGGATCAGATTATTCTCAGAGTGCCCTTTTCCTACAAAAGCCTCAATCAGCATGACTTACATTAATTCTCCAAGGATCTCAGACTTTTTCTGGGTACACTTGGTACGTGCAGTAATTTGAAGACTGTTGAACTTCAGCTGGTAATCTTTGAGAGTTATGAGAGGAAAACAAATCATAATGGAGATACTAAAATAGCAACCAGCTCTCTGATGGCTCCTGACTGGAGTTATTCAACAATGCCACCAATAGATGTCAGTTTGAGCTCAGAAGTGGAAAAGTAAGAACTCAGAGAGCCAGACATTTCATCAGTTCTTTTGTGTCGTGTCCGCAGATGTGTGCGAATGACCTTGTTTAGAGGGAATTGTATTATTTCAGAGATCTTTTTCCCCTTCTGTTGGAAAAAAGCTGATAAAAGCTGGGCTGGATTTGTTTTTTTTTGTGTGTGTGTGTGTTTTTTGAAGATTTATTTTATTTATTTATGCATACAAGAGTTGGGGTACAGGCCAGGGATGTGGGGGGTGAGTCGACTCACCAGAGACAGAGTGGGGAACAGAACAGGCAGACTGACTAAAACACACTGCTGAGGGGAGCAGTGGGCGAGACCAGAGAGGTCTGCTGCGCCATGTGGGCTGCTCCCTAGCCAGCTGGGGATCAAATTCATGCTGCAGAGGTTACTATTGCTTCATAATGTGGTGCTTAACCCCTTGCACCACCAGGGAGGCCCAAGGGCTGGATTTGTAAACCATGTAGAAAGGTTTCCTACATTCCCGGTCTCTTCACTGATTCCATTTCAGAGTTGCTTAATTAAGTTTGTACGTTTTATATTTGCAGTTATTTTTCTTCATCTTGTACCTTTATATCATCACTGATGATTTGCTTCTCCAGCAACCACTATAGCTTTAAGCAAAAGAATGTCAGCCAACTCTGTGCAGTTTATTTCTAAATTTCACTCTGTTCAGTTGTAGATGGATGAAAAGTAACCTCAAGTATATTTCTTACCAACGAGCCATTAGTGTTATCTACCATAACACCTGCTTTCTTACCATTATCCTGAGGGGAAAAGCCACATTATTGACATGACTATGTTAATCTATTTTCTGTAATAACTTAGGACAGGGTTGTCTCAGCATCTGTTTGCAGGTGGCCAACACCAGGATTCTGATGTGCTGGTTAAAAAACAGGTTGCTGTGAAAATACAAAGAAAAAAGACCAAAACAACAAAACACAGATTACTGGGCCTCATTCAGACTTAGTGGATCTCTATCTTAGGTTGTGAGGTCTGGGAATTCACTTTTTAGCGAAAGCTCTCACTTCTACTTCCAGTCTTTTTTTTTTTTTTCCTTTGTAAAGATTTATTTATTTATTTAAAAGATTTATTTATGCATACAAGAACTGGGGTACAGGCCAGAGATGCGGGAGTAGGGGGTGAGAGGATTCACCAGAGACAGAGTGGGGAGCAGAACAGGAAGACTAACTGAAACACACTGCTGAGGGGAGCAGCGGGTGAGTCAGGAGAGGTCTGCTGTGCCATGTGGGTCACCTCCCTGGCCGGCCTGGGAATGGAACTCATGCTGCAGTGGCTGCTCACAGCTTCACAGGTTGTGTCTTAACCCCTTGCGCCACCAGGGAGGCCCCTATTTATTTATCTATGCATATAAGAGCTGGGTACAGGCCAGAAGTATGGGGGGGTGAGAAGATTGACCAGAGACAGAGTGGGGAACAGAACAGGCAGACTGACTGAAGTACATTGCTGAGGGGAGCAGTGGGCGAGTCAGGAGAGGTCTGCTGTGCCATGTGGGTAGCTCCCTGGCCGGAGATCTAACTCATGCTGCTGAGGCGGCAAGCAGCCTCATAGGTTGTGTCTTAACCCCTTGCGTCACCAGAGAGGGCCTACTTCCAGTCTTATAGTTTGTTAAAGTTTAAAATGACAGCCCAGTATATAGTCCAAGGATGTGGACAGTCAGCTTGGAGGCTGTTGAAGTGTGGGTCAGAAATATGGAAAGATTAGAATGTTTGAAATCATTTACAATGAAGGTCTTTTTTCACAATGTTCATGTGCCAGAGCAACGGTAAACATTCAAATGATTCTTTGTCTCTGCCATCATCTTCTGTTATAACTTCTTTAAAGGGCTGTGATTGAATGGTTGGTCCTACCTAGGTGTGGAGAACTGGGAAACTAGGTTTTTTTTTAATTTTATTTATTTTTTGTGTAGAAGAACTGGGGTGTAGGCCAGAGGTGTGTATTGGCACGGGGGGAAGGTGAGAGGATTCACCAGAGACAGAGTGGGGAGCAGAACAGGTGGATTTACTAAAATACACTGCTGAGGGGAGCAGCAGGCAAGACGGGGGTGGGGGTCTGCTGCACCATATGTGGGTTACCTCCCTGGCTGGGGCTTGAACCCAGGCCTTAGCCGTGATAGTGCTGGGACTTAACCCCTTAGGCCACCAGGGAGACCCATTCTACAGTTTTGAAAGATGGGATATTTAGGAGAAAATGAGGGATTGAACACATTTGTTTTGAGTGACTTTGGGTGCATTTAAGAAATTTAATAGTCATTCTTAACAATTTTTCCCTGCCTGCTTGGGATGCAAATTCTGTCCTATTGAGGGGATCGGTTTCTCTTTTGTAATTGTATTTAGGAGAGCTGACTACGTAGGATAATTTTGTGAAAGAATATTGGGAACCCTTGGGACAACTTAATTCATGTTCATTTTTAAAAAATGTAGGTGGTTTCACGGACACCTCTCTGGCAAAGAAGCAGAGAAACTACTAACTGAGAAAGGAAAACATGGCAGCTTTCTTGTACGAGAGAGCCAGAGCCACCCTGGAGATTTTGTTCTCTCTGTCCGAACCGGCGATGACAAAGGGGATTGTAGCGACGGCAAGTCCAAAGTGACCCACGTCATGATCCGCTGTCAGGTGAACCCCCATTGAACTGTGGGTCTGGTATAATGCTGCCTTCGGTGGTATTTTTCTGGGAGAAGACAGAGAACATTACTCCCAAAGTCAGATTTTCTTTGCTCATTTAGTCCAGGGCTTCTCTACTTTTCATACATTGTTTATCATAATTGTTTCATCATTTCAGAACTTTATTAAATTGCTTGTTTCCAGTCTGTCTCGGGCAGATTAAATCATGCCTTGGTGCGTCACCTGTCCTGCAGTTTCGAATCTTCTTCAGCGTAATGGCCTCTGGAGATGGCCTCAATCCCAGTTTCTAAAGCTCCTCCCCAGGCTTGCCCGGTCTAGCCTGTGCCAACATACGCTGCATGTGACAGGTTCTATGTTAAGACTGGGTGAACTGAATGAACCATTTCTTGTTTTTGCTGTGGCCACTGGATCAAGGAGGTTGATTCTTGGACAACTATGTCAAACTTGTTCATTTGTTTGCTTTTTAAAGAATTATTTATTTATTTGTTTATTTGTGCATACAAGAACGGGGTAGGCCAGAGGTGTGGGGGGCGAGAGGATTCACCAGAGATAGAGTGGGGAGTAGAACAGGCAGATTGACTGAAATACACTGCTGAGGGGAGCAGCGGGCGAGACAGGAGAGGTCTGCTGCACCATGTGGGTAGCTCCCTGGCTGGGGATCAAACTCGTGTTGCAGTGGCTGTGGATAGCTTCATAGTGCTGTGCTTATCAACCCCTTGTGCCACCAGGGATGCTGCTCAAGGACAATTTCTATAGACTGCTTTTTTCTGTCCTGTGTATACGGCATAGTTTCCTATTTCTTCGCATGTCTCATAATTTTTTTATTGCAAACTAGACCATTAAAAAAAAAAATAAGCTGTCCTTCCCAGAGTTTGTTGGTGCCACTTTTTATTGTGTCTGTACTTCTTGTTTTTGTGTTTAGTGACTTTCCTGTTCTTTGTTATGTGTGGCCTCTGAAGTCTTTGCTTGGTTAACTTAGTGGTCAGTTAATGATTGGACAGAGCTTTCTATTCAATCACTACTTTACTCTGCTGATGTAAATTCAGCAGTGTGTGTGTGTGTGTGTGTGTGTGTTGCGGCTTGTGTCTTCTGTGCTCTGACACCTTAAAACTCTGCCTTAGCCTTCACTTCGAGGTCAGTTGGAGGTAAAGATTAGAACCTTCCTGTATCTTTCTTGGACTCACACAGCCCTGCACACAACCTTCTAGATTCTCAAGAATATGTTGGAGTTTTCAAAACTCCCTCTGGACATTGCCTAAGTTTCCTTTTAAATTTTTGGTCAGTCTCTTAGTATTTGCCTGACCTCAGGCAGCTGTGATATTAAACAGTGACTGCTGATTGTTTTGGACAGATGCCCTGCAGACATGGCTGAGTGAGCCCTAAGTCAGGTCAAATAAAATCAAGTTCTGAAAACAGGGTTTTTCCAGGTTGCTGCTAAATGGGCCAAATAGTGATGATTCTCTGGGGACAGGCCTCTTGAAAGGTCTCCAGATCTATTCTGTCCTATCTGGTTGGACTAGGTGGCTTGTTTCATAGCTTCTGTGGTTACATGCCTGTTGGTTTTTAAGGCTATCATGGATCTGGGGAGAGGTGGGAATAGGGCAGCTAAAACACTGTAACTTGGAGCACTTACCAAGATTCAGTCTTTTTTTTCCCCTTAAATAAATGCTCCTCAGAGTGTTGTAACCTCTTGGTTAATTTTCAAATGCTGAAAAGTCGATGACAGTTTTTGCCAGTGTTCTTGTTGCCTTTATGGAAGAGTGGATTTTCAGGCCCTTAATTGTCATTCTGAAAGTGCTTCTTCCAACCTCTAGTCTTATTTTAAGTAAAATATCATACCCAAATATCTTCATACATAATTTCTAGGGCTTTGTGTTTCTGAATTTAACTGTTGCCCTTAAATAACCTATTCTGATCTCCTTGTTTGAAAAGAAATTCTTGGTCTGTGTTTATAATTTCCTTTTACATTTTCATTGGAAGGTGAAAGTAAGGGCATGTGTATCCAGTGCTGCCTCACCAGCCTTGCACTTGGCTAGTATTTCAGAGAGAACTAGTTACTTACCATCTATTCAGCAGCCATCTGTGTACTTAACCTCGAGTATAAGCAAATAGTAAAGAACACCGTCTTTTATTTCTTACTATTTAACTTATGACGTAAAAATTTTTGTTGGATATTTATTTAGAGCTACTTACACCTCACCATGGAACGACTTCAGTCAGGTTAGCCTTTCCATTTTCTTTATCCATGTTGCCTCCTTCCCTATGTGCTTCTGCTGCTGTTGAATTTTTCCTTTACGGGGGGAGAGTTAGTGTCTGTACTTCATTTGGGAAAAACAATGACTTAACATTAAAGGTCATTAATAGAATTTTTTTGTCTTGAAAGGAACTGAAATACGATGTTGGTGGAGGAGAACGGTTTGACTCTTTGACAGACCTCGTGGAGCATTACAAGAAGAATCCCATGGTGGAGACATTGGGCACGGTGCTCCAGCTCAAACAGGTGAGCGAGTTGGGACGTTCAAGTCCATCTGTATTCCAGCTGTAGTCCAACTACAGAACAGTATCATGCACCTCCCTGTGCCTAATCCAGCTTTAGTTAGGATCTTCTCATCAAATCTTTTTTTTTTTTTTTTTTTTTTAAGATTTTATTTATTTTTGTATAGAAGAACTAGGGTGCAGGACACAGGTATGGAGGGTGATGGGGAGAGGATTCACCAGAGACAGAGTGGGGTGTAGAACAGGTGGATTGACTGAAATACACTGCTGAGGTAAGCAGCGGGTGAGATAGGAGAGGTCAGCTGTGCCTTGTCATCTCCCTGGCTGGGGATTGAACTCAGGCCTTAGCCGTGATAGTTCTGAGACTTAACCCTTAGGCCACCAGGGAGGCCCTATTCATCAAATCTTGCTTCATTTATTCCCACACTCACTGCTCTCCTGTAGTATTTGAAAACAAATTCCAGATATTGCATCATCCCCATGACTATCTCCCTGTGATCCCTAAATGGCCTTAGAGAGTTTCTAAAGCAAGTTTTTGCCAAGTCTTCATTTTCATTATAGAACTTCCTTGGGTTATAAGTAGTCACACTTATTCATTTGGGAGTTATCACACTTCCAAAGTTCACTCTTATTACTTGTGGCAAATGATATTTCTCTAAATAATATTGTAGTCTTTTTTTTTTTTTTTAAAAAAAGATTTATTTATATGTGCATACAAGAACTGAGGTATAGGCCAGAGTCGGGGGGGGGGGGGAGGTGAGAGGATTCACCAGAGACAGAGTGGGGAACAGAACAGGCACATCGACTGAAATACACTGCTGAGGGGAGCGGCGGGCAAGTCAGGAGAGGTCTGCTGCGCCATGTGGGGAGCACCCTGGCTGGGGGTTGAACTCATGCTGCAGTGGCTGCGAACAGCTTCATAGGTTGCATCTTAACCCCCTGTGCCACCAGGGAGGCCTGATATTGTGGTCTTATTTATAAAGAAAAGTTAGTTTGAATTTATATCAGCAGAGTAAAGTAGAGATTGGAGAAAGATACATTTTTCTGACAACAGAAAAGAAAGTGAAACAGGTTTTGAAAACTTTCATTGTGAATTACTGTGTCTTGTGAATTTCCTGTCCTTGCCTTATGAATATCAACATAGAAGTTATTTTTTTCATTAACACATTTTTTCTGTAATACTTTTTTCACTTCACACCAATGGCTGAATTTGATTAGCCCCTCAACACAACTCGTATCAATGCTGCTGAAATAGAAAGCCGGGTTCGAGAACTAAGCAAATTAGCTGAGACCACAGACAAAGTCAAACAAGGCTTTTGGGAAGAATTTGAGGTAAGTCATTAAATTTTCTTTCACATGCATTATTAAATCCTATTTTTAATGGAAGAGAAGTTGATCTTGTGTTTGCAGTTAGATCTGAAAGACTCAAATCTGTGTCCTTTCTTAATTTGGCCATTGATTGGCATGGAACAAGTTGCTATGGGGGCTGTTTTCTGGAATAGAAGGGTGTTGTGTTCTGGGAGGAGGGAGTTGGCAGCTCATAGTAAATGGATGCGCCAGTAGTTCCATTTGGCTCTTTTTTAAAAGATTTATTTATTTATGCATACAAGAACTGGGGTATAGGCCAGAGGTATGGGGGGCGGGTGACAGGATTCCACCACCAGGGAGGCCCCATTGTTCATTTTTGTTGAATGCATGCTTTTTCCTCTCAGGTGTAGTCCCCGTAAAATTCCTATCATCAGTTCACCCATGAACCATCACCGTAGTCTTTTGTGCTCGTCCCGCCCCTCTTTTGACACTCCTCCTTCCCCCTCCCCTGCAGAATGTCTCTAATTTATAGTTGCCTGTTAATTTTGGTTTTTTTATTTATTGTTATTTTTTTTTTCCTGATCCCTTATTTGGTTTCCCTATATTCCTCCTATAGGTGAAACCATCCAATATTTTTCTTTGTCCTACATTATTTTATTGATAAATATGTTAGTATTTTTTTTAACAATTTATTAATTTATGCATACAAGAGTTGGGGTATAGGCCAGAGGTGCAGGGGAGGCAGAGGTGAGAGGATTCACCAAAGACAGAGTGGGGAGCAGAACAGGTGAATCTACTGAAATTCACTGATGAGGGGAGCAGTGGGAGAGACGGGAGAGGTCTGCTGTGCCATGTGGGTCAGCTCCACCATGTGGGTCAGCTCCCTGGGCAGAGATCAAACTCCTGCTGCCGTGGCTGCCGATGGCTTCATAGTGCTGACACTTAACCCCTTGAGCCACCAGGGAGGCCCCTAAATATATTAGTATTTATGGAGTTCTTAAAAAATCAAGCAAAGTACTACTATCACATCTGAATAAGACAAAACCAAATAAAAATCTTGTCATTGTTCAGATTATGCTAGTTATTTTAAACAATTTGTAGGTTGGATCATTATTCAAATAAGCTCTGCTCATATCTTTAAATTTTTAAGACTTTAAATATTTTTTTTAAGATTTATTTATTTATGCCTACAAGAGCTGGGGTACAGGCCAGAGATGCGGGGCAGGGGGTGGGGTGAGAGGATCCACCAGAGACAGAGTAGGGAACAGAACAGGCAGACTGACTGAAATACACTGCTGAGGGGAGCAGCGGGTGAGCCAGGAGAGGTCTGCTGCACCATGTGAGTTTCTCCCTGGTCGGCCGGGGCATTGAACTCGTGCTGCAGAGGCTGTGGATTGCTTCATAGTGTGGTGCTTAACCCCTTGTGCCACCAGGGAGGTCCAAGCCTTTTAATATTTTGATTCTCCTTCTGTTTTTACTCTTTTCCTTTCTCTTTCTATTTCTCTTCCTTTCCCTTTCCCTCTCCCTCTGTCTTAGTTTATTCAGGTTGCTCTAATAAAACACCACAGACTGGGGCAGCTTACAGTTCTGGGGCCTGGCGTTCCCAGATGAGGGTGCCAGCAGGGTTGGATGGGGCTCTCTTCCTGTGAGGATTTCTGGTTGTGGCCTCCCATAGTGGAAGAGGATAGGGAGCTTTCTAGGGTTCTTTTATAAGGTCACTAATGCCATACACGAGGGCACCACCCTCATCATCCCCAAAGTCACCACCTTCTCCATCATGACAATAAGCAGCATTCTATCAACATACAAGAGGAAGATAAGCATTCATATCTTAGCATCACTTTTCTGTTTGTAGTTTTTGTTATTGGAGAAAGCAGATCCTTGGTCCTGGGAGTTATTTATGGCTGGGTTTTGCTGAGTGTGTCTCTGGTGGAGTTTAACATGTTTCTCTGTCTTGTATTTCTTTTTTGTTGTTGTTGTTAAATGTATTTATTTATGCATATAAGAACTGGGGTGCAGGCCAGAGGTGTGGGGGTGAGAGGATTCACCAGAGACAGAGTGGGGAACAGAACAGGCAGACTGACTGAAATACACTGCTGAGGGGAGCAGCAGGCGAGACAGGAGAGGTCTGCTGCGCCATGTGGGTAGCTCACTGGCCAGGGATTGAACTCGTGCTGCAGAGGCTGCGGTAAGCTTCATAGGTTGTGTCTTAACCCCTGTGCCACCAGGGAGGCCCTAGATCCGTTAATTTTTAAGGGATATAAGATCAGGATTTTTATTAACCCATTTGACCTTTCTCCTCTGCCAAAGCCCACTCTTAACATTGATTTCTTATTTGCTTTATCCATATTACACACACAACAGTCTTAGAATAATAAGACTTTAATTACCCTAATAATTTGATTCCTGAGAATGGTTGAATGTGTATATTTTTTATAGTTTTAATAGAAAAATTCTTCAGATAGATTTTTCAGAGATGTGTAGATTTAAACTCATTTATTATAGTTCTCCGTGGTTATGTACTAACTAGATTCAGTTAGGTTCCTTGTTTCATTTTCAGTTGCATTTTAGAAATTTCTTTCTATAAAATTCATTTCTAATTATAAAAAATATTGCCCTTTGATTCTGAAGTCAAGTATGAGTGTTTTCAAAGAATTATATACTTAACCCTGTCTTTCCTCCCTGTAATTATAGCCATTTTTAAAAAAGCTTTAAAAATTATAAGCTTTAAAAATTAAAAGCAAATGATTATGTATTTCTACATTCATCTTCTTTTGTAAACAATTGCATCACTTTGCACCGTTTTTCCCCCCAACCTTGCCTTTTTCCCTTTATCCTGGAGATCACGCCACAGTAGTATATAGAAATAGGTTTCATTCATTCTGGGTAGTTTCACATGTATTATAAAGAGGACACAATAAATGGCCTTGTGGCACATCTTTCCTTATGTTTGCTGACTTGTTAATTTCCACATTATGTTCCATGTTTAAAAAATGATGGTTGTGAGCAGCTCTCCTGACCACCTGTGACTATGCAGGTGCCTCTCTTTTTCTTTCTCCTTTTCCTAATAAATCTGTCCTTTTTAACTGTCAAAAAATAAGTAAAATAAAAAATGATGGTTGTTACTCATCATTAATTTTGGTTAGCATTGTTGCAATCTGCAAAAATTCTGTTTTGAATGAAAACTAATGGATTTAACTTGTGGTTAAATATAAGAAATAGTGAGCAATTTTCTAATCTTGACCCCTTTGAATGTTCCCCTTCTTTTTGAAATGGTAGCTGTGTGATCAGACCACTTTTCCTTTATGGTAACATGAAATTAAAAAAAACCTCACAGCAGTGAGGTGGAGGATTCTTTAATGACAAACTTACCGAGGATGATGCTCAGGGAATGGAGGTCAAACCTTCTGGAAGAGCCCATGACATCAGGGGTGTTTTCATTATCCATTGGTGGGCCAAGGTGTGATCTTGGAAGAAACTCCCAGCCTGATTGTTCTGGCCTTGGAAAAAGAGGGCTGATGTTCTAAATGTTGACCTGATGGTTTTATGCTGTCATGCCTCAGACTCAAGCTGACAAAAGGTGTGTGTGTGTGGGGGACCTCCATGGAGCTCAGACTGGGGTGATAAATTGCCAGGCACTAAATCAGGGCATTCATGTTTCATTTAAACTGAAGCTCAATCGAAATGGCTGATGACCTGCTTTCTAGTGCTCTGTGTACCTGCTTCTTTAATCCAGTCAATTAAAAGTTGTCCTTTAAGATTGGGGCCTGGAGAATAAGGCTGAGAACAGAACAAACCAGTATAGAAAAACCTAGATCTGTGCGAGCAGCTACTCATTATAATCTAAATCCTTGGGAACTGAAGTTTGATTCACAACAGCAAGACATTAGTATTTTAGTGATTGTACCTTAGTTGTTTCCTGGAAGGTGATAAATTTAGGGTCATTTCCTTCTTCTCATGTACTCTGATGGTCTTTAAGGTGAACCAGACCTCTAAATTGCAGTGCCACTGGTAATTTCACCCTGCCAGCTGTGTTTATTTGTTTGGATACAGCTCCTAGTTATCTGTAAAAGCTCCTCATGTCGTTTCAGATATGTTTCTCCAGAAGACACTTAAGATTACTTTCACTTTTGACCCGTGTTATAGTACCAAGTCTCTTGTGAATTTTGTGCCTCTTTTCTCCTTGACTCCTGAAATAAATTCAGTTTGCTGCTGACCCCGCTGTGGCTTCCACTCTTTCCTTCCTTCCCCTCCTCCACCCCACTGCCCTCTCTGCACCCACTGTCCTTTCTCCCTTCAGCAAATTTCTCTGCTTTTTAACTTACAAACCTTACTTCTAGGCCATTTCAGATACTGAAACAAGCAACTTGCAGTCTTGTGCCATGTCTCAGAGATTCTCACAGGCTCTGAGGCCGTCCTTTCTGGTCCAAGACACAATCACATACAATGAATATGTCTGCAGGGGCCACCCTGCAGACAAGTAGTTCTCAGAGATGGGGGTTGTGGAGGCAGGCATCCCAAAAAATATCTGCTGAAACCAACGGTCACTGGTGGTGGTAGTGATTTCTTTGTTCATTCATTCAGCAAATATTTATTTATTTATTTTTAAGCTCCCCCCCCCCAGATTTATTTATTTATTTATTTATACAAGCACTGGGTATAGTCAGAGGCATGGGAGGGTGAGAGAATTCACCAGAGCCAGATCTGAGAGTAGAATAGGCAGTGATGAAGTACACTGCTGAGGGGAGCAGCCGGTGGCAGGAGAGGTCTGCGCGCCATGTGGGACCCTCGCCCAGTGGCCAGGGATCAAACCAGCGCTGCAGAGGCTGCGGGCAGCTTTGCAACCCAGCGCTCAACCGCTGCGCCACCGGGGAGGCCCTCAGCAAATATTTATTAAGCACAGACTCGGCTGGAGTTTCTCTTCTAGGTTCTGGGCATGTAGCAGGAAACATGTCAAAGTCTTTATCCTGTAGAGCTTATAGTTAATTGGGAGAGACAGACCGTAAACACAGAAACAGGTCAAT